ATAATTATTAAGTCTGATTAAAATTATATTAAATTAAAAAATATATAATTTTTTATATAAATTTAATAAATAAAAATAAAAAATTACTGATAACTTATTTTTTCACAAAATCCTATAAATAAAGGCTAAAGAAAAGTAGGGAAGGAAATAGTTGTTTAATTAACATATAGTGCGGCAGAGTCAATGAACTGGCTTGGGATGTGACTATATGTCAAGTTCTTGTATAGAAAAATATTTGAATCAGTCTAAAGAGATTTGTTTTGTAGTTTGTATCTAATCGAATATCTGGTAATTTTATGTCCAGTCTTGTTGGAAAAGACTTTGAATGTATATCAACGACAGAGATGCAATAACCACATCCAGCTACCCCAATAGACTCCAACTGCAAAAATTGTACAAAGCTTTTTTTTTTTTTTTTTCTAATAATTCATTTTTGCGTTCTATTCCTAATTTTTTTTTTCTTTTTTCATTCCATGAAAGAAAAATTAAAAGCCCTATAAAGATTGAAGAAAACAGTCTATTATTACTACTAGTAGTAGCAAGAAATAGTGTAGCACTGCAGTTATAACTAATACATGTCTCGGAAAAAAATGAAAAAACTTATAAGAGCACACATATATCCCTAGCTTTTTTCAGTTTCTTACTTTTCAACTCATGTTTTATTTTTGATAAGTAATTTTCAACTCATGTTAAGCAAAACTATTAACGAAAAGACAACAAATAAAAATTAAAACTTAAAATGGGGATCAGTGAGTGATAAATTATTTACGTGATAAAATCATTGGAAAGATGATATGAGGGTGGATAATTAATTTTATTTTATTAATATCGCTGCAAAAGGAACAATCTGAGGGTGACGATAGCCCTCAGTTTGACGACGTCATTCTATCATGTCACAACAGAAACCCTATTTCGTACTCCTCCTCGCGCCTTCGCCTAAGTAGGGTCTCCTTAAGTTTCCGCACTTGATTTTCTGCCTATTTCGTACTCCTCCTCGCGCCTTCGCCTAAGTAGGGTCTCCTTAAGGCTCCGCACTTGATTTTCTACATTTTTACGAAATTGCCATTGCAGTTGTCAAATTGACTAAATGACTGGATTACCCTCCTCGCCTCCACATGAAAATTTGCCCGACTTGCAGCAACAGCGTTCCTTTCTCTTTACTTTCTTCTTCTTTTTCTTTTTCTTTTTCAATGGAAAGCAATGGCCCTCCATTAATTATTTCTTTTTTTTTTCTTTTTCTTTCACTAGTAAAAAATCAGGAATAGAGGTCGGGGTTTAAACATCACCTCTTTACGAGCAACGTCAAATAGTGTTGTAGACATCAACCATTATATTGGGCGAAATCTAAAGGTTATGATCTCATTTAATTTGTGGATTGAAATTTTTAATTTAAGTTGAAATATGATATTTTTTAAAAATTTGTATTGTAATAAAAAAAATTAAATGTGACATTTTTTAAAAATTTTTTACTATAAAAACTTAAAATTAAAACCTTAAATTAGTGAAATGAACCAGACTTAAATAATTAATAAATTAGTGAAATGAACAAGACTTAAATAACTAACCTTAGATGTCGCTTAAAACACGAGCAACCTCTAAGATCTTATTAGATCTCACTTCAAATACAGATGACCTCTAAAGCATTTGCTCAATGCCTTTAAGTGACATCTAAAACATGAGGCTTAAATTTAAATTTAGAATCTAAACAGCAGCCGATTAATATATAAATGTATATTTTTTTTTTTTTTTCCTAAACTCTCTGAACATACTAAGCATATTTCATAATTTCATAAACAAGTTTAAATTTAAATTTTTATTTTCTGAGATCTTCTAATAGAGTTATTCTTTTTTTTAATAGAAAAATTAAATTATTCCTTAAAATTTTAAAAAAGTTAAGGGTCCATTTATTTTACTGATTTGAGTTTAGAATTTAAATTTTGTTACAGTAAAAAATTTTCAGAAACAGTCACATCTAACTTTAAATTATTCTTAAAAATTAAGAAAAGTTAAGGGTTCATTTATTTCACTAATTCAAATTTAAAATTTAAAATTGATTACTGTAAAAAGTTTTCAGAAACAATCACATTTAATTCTTTTATTATAATAAAAAATTATAATATAAAATCACATTTCACTTAAATTAAAAATTTAAATTAACGAATTAAATTAGCGTTGGCGTTAAGAAACTAGGGTGAAACAATCACATTTAATTCTTTTATTATAATAAAAAATTATAATATAAAATCACATTTCACTTAAATTAAAAATTTAAATTAACGAATTAAATTAGCGTTGGCGTTAAGAAACTAGGCTCTGCCTCAACAGGATCTGTGGTTCCCTCCGCTTGTTTTTGTCCTTAAGTGGAATTTAGGTCCACCATATTCATTGCCTGTTTACACCTCTGATTCGTCTGATTCAGAGTTAGCGCCGATCCTTATCTAAAATCCTCCCAAACCCAATTCTAAGACTGCTCTAGGCTGATATTTTCCTCGCCTCCCTTATATTATAGAAGAGTAAGCTTTTGACCATCTTCTTCTTTTAAGAAATAAATAGAGTAAGGTCTTTACCGATCTATTCTATTAAAAGTCTTTCTTCCTTATATGCCTTCCCGAAGGTTGTGAACTGAACTTTCGGTGGAAGCAGGAAGTGCGATAAAGATTCTATTTCTTCCGCTGAGGTGAGGAGCTCCTCTATTCCTATTCTATTTCGGGGATTTTAATAGTATTCCTATTCTTATGATTAGATCATCGACCACGGGCAAGAAAAAAAGGAAGAACAACCGCTACAGCTTCGCTTCCTTACTTATTTGGTTACTTTATAGTTGGAATAAGGAACATAAGGTGCAAGGCCCTTTTAAGGCGTTATGGGTCGGCCACATAGGAATAAGAATAGCATTTCTCTTTCGCTTCAGCAGAATGGGATGATTCTTACCTTCTGGGAAGGAGTCTTTACTAAGGAAACTTCCTCCAAAGATCTCTTTTCCCGGGAATGAATTGATCAATCTAGCTTCTGATTTATCAACTTAAACATCAAGTGAAATGGCCTTCTGGTACAAATAAATTGAGGTTTCCCTGGGGGTTGGTTCAAGAAGTGGTAACGCAGGGGGGTGGGTGTAATGAAAGAAGTAGCTTGGGCAAATTCTAGAATTCATTCCTAGCCTCGGGCTAACCTAACTCATTGTAGCGTAGGGGTAGTGGAGACTAGTAGTAATGAATAAAGTTACGGGAGGAGGCTAAGAGTGTAGTCGGGAGCTAAGAGTAATGAGGCAAGTTAAAGGAAGAGCCTATGCATACTTCTTTTTTTTCCTAAGGCAAGAAACTGCTACTGGCATCGATCAACTGCAACTCCTGGCATGAAGACACTTCCCTTGGGGCAACTCCTGTCAATGCCCAATATGCCTAATAAGGTTACAGCCAGGGTCAGGGAGAAAAGGAAGAACTCTTGCCAACCCTTTGACTTTTTGATCGAATGTCTGCTAAAAAAGTGCTCACTTTTTGCCTCGTTTTCGTTGCATTGCTTCTTTTATTCTCTTTCGCTAAGTCCGGGACTTATCTCCTCCTCGAGAAGGCCCCCGAAGAATCAGAAGAATCGGTTTTCGGATGAGGAATTGCCCTTCTTCTTCTTTCCTTCTCGAAAGACCCTCAGGCAGTTCCTTTGATTCTTATCAAGGGGAAGGCCGAAACGGTAAACCCAGCGTCCTGCTTTTCATTTGACAAGAAAGGAAATTAGAGAATAAGCAGAAGAAGTCACATCGATTCGAGTCGACAAGAGAGAAAGAATTGAGGCAAATCTAGCTCTCGTGGAGGCTGCTCAATGAAAGAAAATAGAAGAGGAGGTATACCCGACCGACGATCCAGCATCAATGATAGGAATCCTCGATTCGCATCCCCTACTTGGTATTTGTTCTGGTTGGGCCATCTAACTTTCTAAGAAGTAGCCCATAATTAAGGGAATCCGCATCGGTATTAGTGTCCTATAAGATAAGGTTCAATTCCCCTCTCAAATAAAATAGGCAAAATCGAATAAAAAAGAAACTTGTTCATTTATGTTACCCGTTGTGGACCTTCAACGTTTCACCTTTAATAGAAAAAGGAAAGGCGGTTTGGGAAGTGACGTTGAGGCTGGGCACGTGCGATAAGTAATAAAGAAAGCAAAGGGAAATCAGAGGAGTTAGAGCAGGAAACTAAACGCAGTTTTAATTTTTTTTTTAGAACTGAAATCAATCTCTGAATAAAACTACTAAAGACATTTCAAAAATAATTTTAAAATATAAATATTTTTATTTCTATTTTTATATAAAAAATAAAATTATTTTGAAACCAATTTTAAATCCACCTAGCTTTTTCTCTATTAGAAAAAGGAGGGAAAGATCCATCACCGCTTTAAAGCGCGTAATGTATGGAGAACTGAATTAGAAAAGCGTGAACAGTTATTACCTCAAATAAAAGACACTGCTGCTCTCCTCTCTCCTCTAAATTCCATACTCTCCCCACATGAGGCATGAGCTCTACGCCGCCTTACTTGGGTTTTTTTTTCAATTTTTTTTTTTTTCATCTGACCATATGGGTATTATCCTATGTTGGTAGCTTTTTTCCATTTTTTTTTTTATTTGATGCACTAGATGAGCAATTATGAATGTTATTTGTATTTTTTTTTTTTTTTAGAAAAATGGATCAGAATTGCTTCTTTCGAGTATTGCATGTCCTACTAATTGCATCAATTGGGTCTTGCCGGTATTGATTTTCACTTTTGAACATTTTTCTTAGTGATTATTCAGTAGAAGTTTCTAATTAAAAGAGTTTGTGATGGTGGATCCAAAAAAAAAAAAAAAGAAATTGATGCTCTTTTCCGAAATGGACTGATCGTGCAAGAGGGATTTCTCTTTTCTTACTTGTATGAGTCTATGAATGACCTAATTAATGAGGTCTTTGTTTAAAATTGTTCTCAAAACTAATACTAAATCTACTATTTGAAGTTGCTTATGTATATTTCTACTATTTTCAGGATGTGGGAATTCCTATTTTGATTGCTGCTATTTACAGGATGGTATAATCCTCGTTTAATGCTCTATTTTTCATTTAATGATTTACATCACGTTTCAAGCTTGTCTTCGCTAATAATAGTATTAAAATCTATTTTCTAGAGAGATTTACGTGTCTAATTCTACTATGCAGGGTCTTGAACTTTATGCTGACACATAATTTGTTACTCTGTCTTTCATAGTTGTTGAAGGGTGGCGGCATAGTGGTGGCTTTATTTGTTTACTCAACCACTTACAAATTATGTGCTCTTCTACTTGCTGCATTATCAGTTTTAGGCATATTTCAACTCTTCTCATTTTTTCTAATCTTATGTAGGGAGAAGAGCTTCAAGTCCTCGAATGTTGTTGATAAGTGTGAGAAAGAGACGTTTGAATGGACAAAATGAGCTTACTCTGCTTCACTTTTGTTCAAGTCCCTTTAAGATGCGGGTATGACATTTTGATCATATAAATTGCCACACATTTGTCCCCTATTTATCTCTTTGACTCTCCATCCTTGTGAAGCCATCGGTTTTTAAATGAAATTACAATGCAGGTTGCACATCATTGTTCATCAGATTTTGGATTAATGATGGGAGAGCTTTTGGTGATTGGCGTTGTTGTTGGACCATTTGTTGTTGTAAATTGTAATACATGTTTCTAACATTTTTATTGCAAAGTCATGGCTTCTTATCTTGGTTGCAAAATTTGTAGGGTGGCTCTTATATAGATAAATTATTGTTTCTGGTATTGTATATGTTTTGATTGTGCTATTTGTTATTAATAATATATATTCATATAAATATTAAGATTTGTTATTTAATTAAATATTTTATGATTATTTATTTATTATTTATTTGTGTGTATATATATATATCAGTATTATTATTATTTTTTTTTTCTAAAAAACGAAGCTTTAGACATTACTTGTTTGACAAGTGACGTCTAAAGTTCACATAGACGTCGCTCGTAAAAGTGATGTCTAAGTGGATACTTTTAGCGACGCCATCTAAACGTCGCCTTTTCGGGCGATGTCTAAGATCTTAAACGTAACTTTTCAGGTGACATCTAAAGCCTTAATTGTACTAGTGTTTTTCTTATTATTCTTATCATCTTAATTATGTTTTATTCTTCTTTAGTTAGTTTGATAAATCTTATGTGTTGTTTTTTAACATCAAATAATTTATTCTTACTTATTTTTTGAATGAAAAAAGACATTAATGGTTAGATTTATTTCCACATGAATTGTATATATTTTTAGATACCTTCTGTCTACTGAAAAAATGGAAAGCAATGGTCTGCAGTTTCTTCATTAATTATGACCAATTTCTTAAATTTCTTCTTGACAGTTTCATCTAGAGATGCAAGAACGGGCCGGGCCGGGCCGGCCCGTTCTCTTTAGGCTCAGCTCACAAATTTTATGGGCCGGGCCGATTCGTATAAGAATGACTTCGGCCCATATCACATTATGGGCTAATTTTACATGGGTCAGATTGGATCGTGCTATGGTCAGGATGGGCCGTGGCATGGGCTTTGATTGACTGGCCCATTCAAGGTTCATCTCGGCCCATCATGTGTTTAGATGGGCATGTAATTTTTAATTTTTAATTTTTGAATTTTTAAATAAGTTAACAAATATAAAAGTTTGAATAGTCAATGTAAATATAAAAAAAGATATTTTATTTACGATTGCCTCATTAAATAAAAACCTTTTTAAGAAAAAACTTAGTGGGACAAAATCTTAGTAAGGAAAAAAGAGTACAATCAGAATAATTATATATAAGATGTTTACAAAATTACTAAAAAAAAAGAAAAAAAAAACATGAAAATATTATGGGCTTAGATGGGCCGGGCTGGGCCGGCCCATTATGGGCCTAAACAGGCTGGGCTGGGTTGGCCCATCATGGGCCTATACGGGCCGGCCTAGCCTAGCCTGCCCCATGATTTTTCATGGGCCGTGCCGGGCCAGCCCATGGACTGATATATCTTGGCCCAATCCAGCCCACAAATATTTATGAGCTGGGCCCTGTCTTGAACAGTGATGGGTCATGCCGGCGCAACCCGTTATTGTGTCAGGAATGGGCCTGGGGCGGCCCACAGACCCCGGTTCATTGTTGCATCTTTACTAAAAAAAAAGAAAAAAAAAACATGAAAATATTATGGGCTTAGATGGGCCGGGCTGGGCCGGCCCATTATGGGCCTAAACAGGCTGGGCTGGGTTGGCCCATCATGGGCCTATACGGGCCGGCCTAGCCTAGCCTAGCCTGCCCCATGATTTTTCATGGGCCGTGCCGGGCCAGCCCATGGACTGATATATCTTGGCCCAATCCAGCCCACCAATATTTATGGGCTGGGCCCTGTCTTGAACAGTGATGGGTCATGCCGGCGCAACCTGTTATTGTGTCAGGAATGGGCCTGGGGCGGCCCACAGACCCCGGTTCATTGTTGCATCTCTAGTTTCATCTAGAAACGTTAGTATTTTCTATGGACATGTTGGAAAGTAAGAAAATATTATTGCATACACAAGATCACAGATGGTGATCAAAAGATGATTAGCCTTGTGTAATTAGTTATTGATGGGTCAAGATTAACTTAACGACTAAAACTAATAATAGAGTCAGCGAATTTATTCAAGAAACAATAATGCAAGTTGGCAGTTATCATGGTCAATTGTCTTTGCTTTTTTAAAATCATTGTATGTAACAAGTAATTGTAATCCCTGTTTGTTTTACAAATTTAGTTTACTTCAACTTAATTTGAACTAACGTTTATCATAAGCATGTAGTTTGAATTATATTTTCCGTTTAAATTGAGCTAAATTACCGTTTAAACCATTTTTGAACAGTAAAATGTGCTTACTTTCTCTACTGTCATACTTACTAAATACAAATTCAAAATTTATTTCCTCTTCAAATTAAAACGTCAATTACATATCCAAATGTCAACTCAAATTACAATTTAAACCACAAAATTTAAATTTTTCTATTCAAACTAAAAAGCTTAAACCAATAAATTTCAAACCAGGGAACCAAACGGGGCGTAGTTATTCTTTCCCTTTCAACTTCGGCCAACTTTTCAAATTTTCCTGGTCTACAGTACGTGATGATTAACATATAGGATTATTATCATTGGTGGTCCTTGAATTTAATAGTCATTCTCAGTTTGCTCACTAAATTTTAAAAACTCTCAGCTTACCCTCTAAATTTTAAATTGTTCCCACTTAACTCATTCTATTGTAATTTATATTAAAAACAGATAAAAAAAGAGAATAACGCAATCACGTAGCCTTTCTACTTGGATTTATAGGATATATCTCTCACATATATTAATAGGATATTGTAGCCTTAAATATATAGAACATTAATAGTAAAACTTTAAACTTAGTTATTAGCCATATTCTCTAAAGATAAAATATGTCTTTAATCATCCACGTCCAGGAAAAAAAAAAAGTCTTTAATCAGTATCCCTTCAATTTACGGCACAAAACAAAGAAATTTTATCCCTAAATGGACACAAATTATAAAAACATATTTTGTAATATTCAAAAAGTTTGGAGGTTTGATACATAAATTTTATAAATTATAGTAGCAAGAATCTAAAGATAAGTGGGTATGGCTCAACAGTAATTTCACACATAATTCTACTATGAAGTGCCGAGTTCAAATACCCCACCGTTAAGACAAAAAAAAAAAAGAAAAATCTGGAGATAATAAAAACCAGACACTTACTGAGTAAATAGGCGCTGCACTAGTTGTAGGGAAGGAACTCCATTAGATTTTAGTTTAATTTTAAGTTTGCCTTATATTGATCAGGAATAAGAGTTATCTCAGTTTTATCTCCTATAATTGAAAACATCACAAAATCATACCCCTAGTAAATAAAACATAAATTTTTAATGGTTTTAATTTTTAATCACGTGTGGATCGCAGGACTAGTTAATAAAATGAAAATGTATCAATAAAATTAAATAAAATAATTTCAAAAGAAAATCTTAAAAAATCTTTATTCAATCGGAAAACCTACTATAACTTGTTTTTAATTTTGAGATTGAAAACGTTTTCATTTTCATTTTCAAACAAAAAATAAAATCATTTTGAAACGAGTTCCAAACGCGCCCACTATATCCAGTATTTCCAATTCCAAGGACCCAATTAATTAATAAAGTGAACAGGATATATATTTACGTACGTAATTGGCTTGTTGTATGGAATATGACAATAAGAATAACTTTGATGTATATATGTAGGGTATGAAAGGATACTACTATGTATGTACATTGTACAAACAATTTAATTATATTAGAATTATATCAAATTAAAATAAAAATTGATTAAAAGAATTTAATAACACCTGAATTGCTTGAAAGCAGTGCGCAATATTCAGTAGTATCAATAAATTTCTTTTTATAAGGAATAAAAGACGTTAAAGTTGATAATCATAGGGTGATTCATATATATATTGTATATGGAAAGCCCATGAAACGGGCATCATCCTTCAGGGCATTACATATATAACCTATCGCATCCGTTGCTGTTGAAATGTTGGCTGCTCTTCACCCACTTGCAGCCGCCAACTTGCTGAAGGGGGGACATAGTTGTTGTATTTAACATGTCTCATGCACACGTTGGATATTTACATCATCAGAACAAAAAGGCGCCTAATAATTATGTTTTTCCAGTTAAATTTCATGTATAAATATAACGATTTGCATCTCCATTTAATATGATATTATCTGCTTTAAGCATTTTAGATTTAAACCCGCACAGTTTTATTTTTAAGCTTCACCCAAAAAAACCCCATACCATTAAGAAGTAGTGTACTTCTTTATAAACCGTCACATATAATCATCCTTAAGTGATGCGACTGCACAACTTACTCTATCTTATTTTTTACCTTAAGAGAGTGATTGATGTACACACATTATTATTATTATATAATTTATAATAATTTCAAATAATTTATAATAATTTCAAATAATTTATAATAATTTATAATAATGTTATATATTTATAATTGGTAACTATTGAGAAAATCCTTATCCGAAAACTTTAGATTGGATTGAGTGTTTCTCATCATTTGGATTGGATATGAGAAACTTAATTGAAATTAATAACGAATTAATATTATTCTAATCTAATAATTTGGATCATGAATTGACACTCAAACCGAGAATTCCAATTCGTGAACATCATACAAACACATACATTAAATTCTTATAATTCATATGTTCGCACCACAAGAATTGAAAATCTTATCCAAGATTATTTCTAGTTCTCTGCTTAAGTGTACATGAGAAGATTTTGACTTTGTGTCGATGACATGGTCGGAAACTTTGAGGAAAAAGAGAGAGAGAGGACAGGGGGGAAAGGTTGGAAATAATGGAGTAATTAAGATAGAGGAAATAAAGTATCGCTAGTTGCTTCGTTTCTATTTTCGTTTATTCTTTTGCTATGAGAATATATATATATATATATATATATATGGACATAAATATTACATATATATGGGTGTGGTTTTAATGGTTATTGGTTACCTCAATATATTTATTATTCATTTGTGTTTTAGCCATAATATATTGATCCGACAGTTATAATAAATTAAATAATTGATGATATAGATTATAGATATATAAATATATATATGTGTCAATTAATGAGATTAGATTTTTATCACACAACATCATCAAATTTGTATTTAATAGTAACCACTGATTAAAACATGACTATTGAAAACTTGTCTATATATAGTATGTAGCAGTAGTGAACAAGTAATTCATTGGATATGTGTGCTTATCATAATTTGATAGTAAATGTATCTAAGGGTAAAATAATAAGTTTGTTAAATAAAAAAAGTAAATTTTATATTATGTAAATGAGAAATTTAGTAAATAAAGGCATCGTTCATTTCACCGATTTGAATGATCAGTTCTAAGTTTTTACAGTTAAAAGCTCTCAAAAAATGTCACATCTAACTTTTTATGTTAAAATTAAAAGCTCTTAAAAAATGTTACATCTCAACTCGAATTGAAAACTCGAATCTGTGAAGCGAACGAGACTAAAGATAAAAATATATATTATAACTTGATAGTAAATATTATATTATGCCAATCCGAAAGTAAATAAAGATAAAAAAAAAATTGGGATGTTCTCTTTGCCCTCAACTTGAGTTGAAATATCAGTTCGAGTTGTGTTCTTAACTTAAATTTGTGTTTGATAAGGAAACTTAAGAACAAGATTTGAGTTAAAATCGGAATTCAAATTAGCCAAATGGTGTAAAATCTGAATTCGTCAGTGAACTTATATTTAGACAAAGGGAAACAAATAAAAGGACAGAAATATTCGTGACAATATGTCATCTTCAATGTACGTAGAAAATAAGCCGTCAAAGTCTTATTTTGTTTTGAGCGAAATTCCATAATATTACTGGTAAATGTTAATAATCACACCATTACGGACCCTTTTAGACTAGGAAAATCATTGTTAAACTAATGGCTCTCTAAATTTGCATCTTAGTTATTGCTTGGAATAATGTTGAGAGAGGGAATTAAATCAACCAACAATATATTTTGAAGTCTTTCAGTTTCTTTGTCTATAATATTGGCAAGCGCAATAAATTAGCATGCAATTGAAAGTCTTATTTTATAAATGGTTAAGTGCTTATATTCTGATCTCTTTGGCAATCGTATACATTAGAACTTGAAAGTTTTATAGTCATTTTGCAAATGTGGTTCGCATATTGCGACGATCTACTCATTTATTTTATATTTCGTATCGATCGTAACAACCAACGACGTCCACGGATGGATCGTATACATATATTGATTGGTAATTATTTTAATACTAGAAAAATTAACCAAGGGACATGGTTTTGATCTCTAGTTTTTATTCCGATATAGCTTAGAAGCCTAAGACCATATTACGTACATAACTAGGCCATGGACCAAGTAACATCAACAACACCCCAATCCTTGTCCAGGCCCAGGGCACTCCACACAGCATCGGAGCCATCAACGATATCATTCTGACACGGTGGCTGAAACGCATGCTCTTGGTCACACCCTCGCATGGAGTCACACTCGTCCACCACCTTAGCCACCACGCTCCTCCCATTACTTGCCCTGATCCTTATCATCTTTCCGCACCTCGACCAGTTGTCAAACCATCCGGTCGACAGTGCCACGATCCGCTCGCTGTTCGAATGGTACTTCCCGTCGCAAAAAGACGCCCCCCCGCCGTCCCAGCCCGCGCTGAAGTCGTTGTTGGTCAGTTTGGCGGGCGTGGAGGATGTGACTGGGGGAGAGCACTTGTAGGTAGGGTAGGTCCTGCCGTTGCAAGTGAGAGTACTGTACTGCTTACAGCCGCCGCCGCCAGGAGCGGGGAATGGGCAAATTCGGATTCCAATATCGGGGTCGTCGTTGCACTTGCCGTTGATGCAGATGAGCTGGCCCTCGCAGTCGTTTAGGTCACGGCACGGGCCGTTGCAGGAGGAGATGGCGTGTGATGGGAGAGGGAGCGTGGAGATCATGATGATGAAAAGTAAGAAGGAGAGAGAAACGTCTAAGAATGCTAAACGAGCCATTTTATGATAGGGAAATGAAAAGTTAATGATTAGCTATTTGTGACGGTTGGATGAAAATGCAAAGCTTGTGGCATTTATTTATAGTGCTAGGAATGACGGCAAAATGGATATTTGTAGAGATTTTATGAGATAATTATTTTACAAATTGATGCGGCAGTCTATATGGAAATGCCATCAATGTCGACTAGAAGCATAATTAAATGATCATAACACTACAACAAATTTCATGTTAACGATTCATATTAGACAACAGTTTTTAGACACTGTCGTCTAAATGCAATTAATAATGCGGCCGCTTACGTGATCATTGTTATCTGGCACACTCCCAGTCAAACAACACAACATCCATCAGACTCCTAGCATGAATATACATACATGTACATACATACATATATATACATACATATATATATATATATATATATATATATATATATATTACCAAATGACATGAAGTTAGACAATGGACCAAGTAACGTTAACAACACCCAAATCCTTGTTCAGCCCCAGGGCACTCCACACGGCATCGGAGCCATCAACAATATTATTCGTACACGGCGGCTGGCCCGCATGCTCGGCATCACACCCATGCATGGAGTCACACTCGTCCACCACCTTAGCCTCGGTGCTCGTTCCATCACTCGCCGTGATCCTTATCATCTTCCCGCACCTCGACCCCTCTTTGAACCATCCCGTCGACAGCGCCACGATCAGCACCGAGTTGTCGTGGTACGCACCGTCGCAGGACGACGCGCCACTGCCGTCGCCTCCCTCACTGAAGTCGTTGTTCGTCAGCTGCGCCTGTGTCGAGGAAGTCACCGGTGGAGAACAGCTGTATGTGTTGCCGGAGTAGCCGTTGCAGTTGCAAGTTCCGGAGGGCTGACAGCCGTCGGATGAGGAGCCGGTCACCATTTTCAATAATATGTTATTGCTTTTACAGGATTTGTATGTTGGCGGCTCTTCACCCACTTGCATGGTTAAGGACATTAATGCCACCTACTTGTTGAGGGGGCCATATATAGTTGTCGTATTTAACATATTTCGTGCACACGTGTAATATTTACATCATCAAAATAAAAAGGAGCCTAATTATTATTATATAATTTATAATTATTTCAAATAATTGATAAAAATAATTTATAATAATTTACAATAATACTTTATGACAATAATTTATATTAATAATTAATATTTAAAATTGATAACTATATATTGAGAAAATCTTTATCTGAATACTTTAGATTAGATTGAGCGTTTCTCAATTTTAGATTGGATATGAGAAACTTTAAGATTAATAACAAATTGAGATTTTTCTAATTCAATAATTTGGATTATGAATTGACTCTCAAACTGACCCCAATTCGTGAAACTCGTACAAACATATACATCAAATTATTATAGTTCATGTGTTCGCACCAAAAACTTGAAAACTTATCCATGATTATTTCTAGTTCTCTGCTTAAGTGTACATGAGAAGACTTTGACTTTGTGTCGTGTCGGTGACATGAAAGTCGGAAACTTTGAGGAAAGAGAGGATAGTGGGGAAAGGTTAGAAATAATGGAGTAATGAATTAAGATAGAGGAAGGAAAAGTATCGCTAGTTCTTTCGTTCTTCTTTTCTTCTCTTCTTTTCATGCTATATTATTAAACTTTTATATTTGATATTAACCACCGATTAAAACGCGACTATTGAAAAGTTGTCCATATAACAGTAGTGAACAAGTAATTTATTCTCTTGTGAAAAAGAAAATATTGGATATGTGTCCGTATACAAAAATGTATGTATATGTATCTTTAAGGGTAAAATTAATAATAAGTTTATTAATTAAAAATAGTAAAAATTATACTATGTAAATGAGAAAGTTAGTAATTAATAAAGATAAAAAAATATATGACATGGGGCTTATAATATATTTAGAAGAGTCGTCTGAAACATGAAGTATTTAGACCACGTGACAAAGGGAAACAAATAAAACGACATAGCAACTCGTGACAAAATCGTCTTCAGTATAGAAAATAAGTCATCAAAGTCTTTTATTTTGCTTTGAGAGAAATTCTAAATATTAGTGGTGAATGCTAATAATCATATCATTACGCGACTCTTTTGGACTACGAAAATCAACATCTTAAACTAATGGCTCTCTAAATTATTACTTGGATTAATGTTGAGAGAGGGAACCACGTCAACCATGATATTTTGAAGCCTTGGTCTTTCGGTTTCATTGTCTATAATATTGGCAAGGCAAGTAATTAGTATGCAACAGCTTGAAATTGAAAGTTTTATATAATAAATTGTTTTTTATCTTCTGATCTCTTTGCAATCGTATTCATTTTGCAAAAGGAAAAAAAAAAAGAAGAGAAATGTCAGTTGAGAGGTTAAAATGTATTATTTATGTCATTCCACTCAAAAGTAAACAAAGACAAGAAAACAAAAACACTATAATAACATCCAATTATTTAAAATGACACAAATAATATACTTATATGAAATCACGACAACTTATGTATTTTTATCTTTTTGGGCAAATGTGGTTTGCATATTGCAAGTCTACTCATTTATTTTGTAATTCGTATCGTAACAACCTAAAACGTCCACGCAGGGATCATGTACATTGATTGTTACTTATTTTATATAATACTAGAAAACGAAGGGACATGGCCGTTTTGATCTCTAGTTTTTATTCCGATATAGCTTAGAAGCCTAAGACCAAATTACATATGTAGGTAGCTAGGCCATGGACCAAGTAACGTCAACAATACCCCAATCCTTGTCCAGGCCCAGGGCACTCCACACAGCATCGGAGCCATCAACGATATTATTCTTACATGGTGGCTGAAACGCATGCTCTTCGTCACACCCTCGCATGGAGTCACACTCGTCCACCACCTTAGCCAACACGCTTCTCCCATTACTTGCCCTGATCCTTATCATCTTTCCGCACCTCGACCTGTTGGCAAACCACCCGGTCGACAGTGCCACCACCCGCTCGCTGTTTGAATGGTACTTTCCGTCGCAATAAGACGGGCCGCCACCGTCCCCGCCCTCGCTGAAGTCGTTGTTGGTTAGTTTGGCGGGCGTGGAGGATGTGATTTGGGGAGAGCACTTGTAGGTAGGGTAGGTCCTGCCGTCGCAAGTGAGAGTACCATACTGCTTACAGCCGCCGCCAGGAGCGGGGGATGGGCAAATTCGGATTCCGATATCGGGGTCGTCGTCGCACTTGCCGTTGATGCAGATGAGCTGGCCATCGCAGTCGTTTAGGTCACGGCACGGGCCGTTGCATGAGGAGATGGCGTGTGATGGGAGAGGAAGCATGGAGATCATGATGTTGAAAACTAAGAAGAAGGAGAGAGAAACGTCTAAGAATGATAAACGAGCCATTTTATGAGAGGGAAATAGAGTTGGGATGTAAATGTAAGAGCTTGTGGCACTTATTTATAGTGCTAAGAGTGATGGTAAAAGGACATTTTTAGAGATTTTATGAGATGATTATCTTATAAATTGATGTAGCAGTCCATATGGAAATGCTATCCATGTCCACTTGACGCATAATTAAAAGATTAGAACATTCCCTTGAAATTAAAAAGTTTTTAATGCATTTGCCGCCTGAATATTTAATAAATTATCTTTTGAGCTTTTAATTTTAGCAACTCACATGTGCACGATTCTAAAGGGGTAAAATTAGTATTTTATATGCCTCAATTATTAAATAAAATTATAAAAACCTTAGATTTATCTCAACCATCCATTCAATTTTCAAAATAAAAAAAAAAAGAATTCTCAAAATCTCTCCCTCTTGCCTCCATACACGACAGAGGCGTTTTTTCTTCTCAGTGGTGGTAACTCAAAATTGATGAAGGGGTTTGATCCTTGTCAGCTTTTGAGTCAAATGAGCCGACAGTGCACATCAGCGCCGCCAGGATGGTGGGTTTTTTATGGGTCTCACGGCGGCCAAAATGTAAGAGCTTGTGGTACTTTTTTATAGTGCTAGGAGTGACGGTAAAGTAGATATTTTAGAGATATTATGAGACGATAATTTTATAACTTGATGTAGCAGTCTTCACGGAAAGGCCATCGATGTCGACTTAACACATAATTAAAAGATAGAACATTGAACATTCCATATAGATTAGAAGGATTTTTAGTACATTTTCTCCTTGAACTTGTCATGATTTAGTAAATTGTTGTCATCTGAACTTTTAATTTTGACAATTCTCTAACTTGTAAAACTGTTGCATTTGACTCTATTTGACAAACTTAAAAAACTAACGGATACTAACATGTGCAAGTCACATGTGTATGGTTCTAAAGGGGTAAAATTAGTATTTTATATGCCTCAATTATTAAATAAAATAATAACAACCCTAGATTTATCTCAACAATTGATCTTAAAATTTTTAAATCTCAACCATCCATTCAATTTTTTTTCTAAAAAAAGAACTCTCAAAGTCTCTCTCTCTCTCCCTCTGAGGCTCCTATAATGGGTTTCAGCGAGAATTGACGGACACCATCGACTGGGTTTTTGTTCGTCTCGTCAATCTAAATCCATAATCATCGTTGAAATCATCCCAACCGGAGCTCGGATGGTGGAGTTATGGCAAAGAGAAGTAATGAGTTTTCTGATGGGTTTCCTTGGCCATTGCAGTGGACTATGGTTGAGTTACTGTCGTTGAACCCAGGTCTTCGAGAGTATGAATCATCATTTTTGAACGCGTATATGGAGGGAGGAGAAAGAAAGAGAGATCCGATAGATTTTGAGATTTTTTATTTTTATTTTTTGAAAATTGAGTGGATGTTTGAGATTAAAAAAAAATTTAAGATCAATGGTTGAGATTTGTCTAGGGTTTTTATTATTTTATTTAATAATTAAGGCATATAAAATACCAATTTTACCCCTTTAAAATCACACATGTGATTTCTACATGTAAAAAATCCTTTAGTTCTCAACAAAAGTTTGTCAAATAGAGTTACAAATTAAAGGGGGTTGATTGTTAAAATTAAAATTCAATAGACAATTTGTTAATTCATAATAAGTTCATAGACAAATCTACTAAAAACCCAAATTAGTATACAATTGTTAAAAGAATGGAATGGTGTGTCTTACCAAAAGAGAAAAAAAAGAAAAAGATACAATCATTACCAAAAAAAAAAAAAAAAAAAATACAATCATTAAAGTGATAAAAGGTGTGGCCCTCAATAATTGCACAATTAGTTCTTGTAATAATACAAAATAGCGATCAAACTTTTATAAAAGGGGTGGCGGCTGGTAAATACGAAAAATGCTAAAGGTTGTTCAACACAACCAGTGGTGGAGATGGAGCTCGTCTTCAATCTCAATACGGGCATAACGGTATATTAAATTTTTATGAAAAATATAAAAAAAAATTATAGTATAGTTTTTCAAGAACTACTAAATGTATATAAAGAATTTTACAATATGAAAGAGAAAAACTCTTACCGATAATGCTTTATCTCGAAACATCATATAGTATAAACAAGTACTGTTTGTTTATGTGCTTTTGTTTTAATGTGATTTCAATAAGATTGATGGTGATAAGGATACCATAGAAATAATTTTTTACTTTTCATTTTTTTACCTTGCATTTTGAAAAAAACTCCTATCTTCTATTTTGGAGTTTATAATATTTATATGTACTTTCAGATCATTAATTTCCAATTTATGCTCAATTCTTTCCTTTTGTTGATCATTGGTCAATTTTGACTAATGAAAAAAAGTAAACGTCCTAGTAAAATTAGAAACATAAGGGAAAAATTGAAAAATACGAGGATACATCATCTTTGTCACTCTTTTGGTTGTTATCACTAGATGGTAAAACCTACTTCCCGTTGTCCAACAATATCATCATATTTTTCACTGGAAAATGTTATTCATTTTCAATACTATTTAAATCAGCTAACTAACCGCATTATGAGAGACATTCAAGATATCATTTAGTCTTTTTTCTTAAGCTGGATGGTTTTTCAGCATAGTCTTTTCTTTTCATTGGTTGCTAAGGTTGATAAGAATAAATCTAATAATATATAATATTTTGTCCCTAGATTTGCATTGTGAGAAGAAAGAAGACAACATTGTGTTAAACAGATATTTCTCAGGAAAATAAAATAAAATTAATGCATTGCAAACATGTAAGATGGTAAAAACATGCATCAAATTTATCTATTGTGCTTGTAAATAGCAGATAAAAAGTTAAGGACTATATGTCAAGTCACAAACTGTATATTCCTCTATGAGATTTAAATTTCAAGTTTAATTCCATTAATCCACTCATTGTTCTTTTAATTTTCTCTCGGATATTCAGCCACTACTTATTTAGTTTATACCTTACCAATCAAATAACAAGATCATTGTTATCTGGCAGAGTCCCAGTCAAACGACACAACATCTCTACTCTCAGCATGAATACACACACACACACACACACACACACACACATATATAATACCGAATGCCATAAACTTAGACAATGGACCATGTAACATCCACACGACCTACATTCTTGTTCAGGCCTAGAGCGCTCCACACAGCATCCGACCCATCAACCACATTGTTCCCACATATATATTGATTGTTAATTATTTTACTACTTGAAAGACCAGGAAACATAGTTTTGATCTCTGGTCCTTATTCCGATAGCTAATATAAGTCGAGCTTAAGGACAAATTACCTAGGCCATGGACCAAGTAACGCCAACAACACCCAAAGTCTTGTTCAGCCGCAGGGCACTCCACACGGCATCGGAGCCATCAACAATATTATTCTTACACGGCGGCTGGCCCGCATGCTCGGCATCACACCCATGCATGGAGTCACACTCGGCCACAACCTTAGCCTCGGTGCTCGTCCCATCACTCGCCGTGATCTTTATCATCTTCCCGCATCTCGACCCGCCATCGTACCACCCAGTCGACAGCGCCACTATCAGCTCCGAGTTGTCGTGGTACGCACCGTCGCAGGACGACGCGCCACCTCCGTCGCCTCCCTCACTGAAGTCGTTGTTCGTCAGCTGCGCCTGTGTCGAGGAAGTCACCGGTGGAGAGCAGCTGTACGTGTTGCCGGAGTAGCCGTTGCAGTTGTAAGTTCCGGACGGCTGACAGCCGTCCGATGAGGAGCCGTCGCTGTTTCCGGCGCATATGTGTGTTCCCACGTCGGGGTCGTCGTTGCACTGGTCTTTGATACAGATGAGCTGGCCGTCACAGTCGTCCCAAGTTTAGCACGGACCGTTGCAGGAGGAGATCGCTTGTGCCGGAAGAGGGACGTCGGAGATAATTGTATTCAAGATGAATATCAGGAAAAGAGAAATCAATAACGACGCTGAACTTGCCATTGTAACGAACTGATGAGGGATCAGAAAGATGTCTGATCTGTAAGTGCGTACGAAAGCAGAGAAATTACGTGCTCATGGTTGATATCGGTCACGCGTATAAATATGGTGTTGCGTACCGTATTATGGGGTGTAGACGTTTAGAGAGGGATAGGTTAGACTAGACATTTCCAAGTCTTGGTCTTCAGTTTCTTGTAATATTTCCTTGACGTACAGTTTGGGAGTGGTATATGTCGTGTCGTTCACGTCATAGAAAAGACAATATAAAGATCTACATGAAGAAAATCGATAAAAAGAAAGATGAGAAGAGTGTGGAAATTACGAACGTTTTTGGTGGCAAATGCTGTTATGACATTATCTATTTCTTTGAATGAAACGACATGTCCAGTTAGTGGAAACAAAATGGGGGCATACTTAAATTCTTAAAATAATATCATAGTCGTTGATGGATCATACACGTATTATAAGTTTGTAACTTAGTTGAAACAAATGCAAGTATTGACATTGAGTTCATGAGAGAGGATGTTGCGGGTTTATTTTGCGAAGTCTGGCGGAATTTGTTTTGAGAGTAGACAAGATATAACTTGACTATTTGACTATTTGTAGCCTGCACTTACCATAAATTTGAGCTGTTGTGGCCCTGTTATAACTCGTGAAAGCATTAAACCGTTGTTCACGATGACCATGTACAATAAATTCAAATTTAATTTTCCGGATTGAATTGGATTTGGAAGCATTTTAGATTGGTAACAGATTGAGAATATCCCAATCTAAAACTTTTGAATTATTTTACAGATTGTGTATTTCTCAATGCAATCCGTAAATTTAAACTATGTGTGCATTATATAAATGCATGATATGTATATGATTATTTATTTTTTTGTACAAGTTTTTAGTAGTATATATGTCTATATCCGTAATTTCATTTCTCCAAAGCCTTGATTTCGTTTTGAGTTTTGTTGAAGCTAATTTGTTATAATTGATTGGATCGAAGAAACTTTTAGATTGATAGCATATTGAGATTTTTCTAATGCGATTGTTTAGGAGTGGATTGTAATTAAATTGATCCTCAATCCGTGTATTTCAACCTGTGAACACTCCAACTAGCTACAGATATAAACATCAAATTCTTATAGTCATGATAATATATATATATATATATATATATATATACACATGTAACAGTACCGAGGAAGTAATATATTGGATATATATGCGTATACATAATTTATAATATGAATAATGCTTGAGACACCAACTCAAATTTTAACACTTATATACCAACTGATGTGGCATATGAATTTTTATATTAGTGAGTATTTAAAATATTGTCATGTCAATTAATGATAAGAAATTGCATCTACTAATAAAAAGATGACAACTCACATTTTATATCAGTTGGTACACAAAAATTGAGATTTGAGTTGGTGTCCCTTACATTATTCTTATAATATATGTGTGTATGTATCTGTAGTAAATAATAGTTTTATTAACTCAAAATAGTATGTATTATATTATGCAAATAAAGATAAAAATTGAATATTATTTGGGGCTTATATTTATAAGAGCCGTCTAAAACATGAAGTGGTTTTATATATTGGTTCCAACATCTGGGTTGTCGTCTCACTTGCCGTTGATGCAGATGAGCTGGCCATTGCCGTCGTCTTGGGTTTGGCACGGACCAACGCAGGAAGAGATGACTCGTGAGCTGGGGACGTTGAAGATCACGGTGTTCAAAATGAGGGGAAGAGAAATAAGGTTAAGTTGGTAATTGTAATGTGACAGAGAGATGTTTGATGTATATCTACGAGTCTAAATCGATCCCATAGTAAATATATATTGTAAAATCATGTCTAAGTGCACTTTTGGATATCTGCTCGATCGCAGTTTAGAAATTAGTGGTTTGACCACGGGATTTGCAAGTTTAAGGTCCCGTACATTTCACTGATTCGAGTTTTGTTACAGTAAAAGGCTATCAGAAATAATAACATATAACTTTTTTGCTATAGTAAAAAACTCTCATATAAAGTCACATCTCAACTCGAATCAACAAACTAAACGGGCCCTAAGTCTTCAATTTTTTTTTCTTTACTAGTTGAGCACGCGTCATTCCTTGTATTTTTTGGATATTAAAATTTCTTTTAAGATTTAGTTTTATCTATTTATTATCCTCCTAATAATTGAGTTTAGTAAAAAAAAAAAAGATTTAATAGAGCACATTTAAAAAGAAAAAAAGTTTTAACGAAAAAAAAGCAGATAGTAAATTATTCATAGAATACGTGTAAAAAATATATTTTAGAGAGTTGTATAAAAAATATTTAGATAGGGACACATCCGAAAGATATTATTTAAGTGAGCAATTAGGGTAAAACTCTTACGGGGACTATTTGGCTTATTCGTCTTCGAGCTTATTCGGCTTCCCAGCATTAACCAAACAACCACGGTTAGGAAAAATTATTTAGGCAATCGCACGTCTCTAGGGCAAAACGTTTTGTTCACCTTTGGACGAAACTCCGGAGCCGCATTTGCGGCTTTTAAATATTAAAGATCAACATATTATACCGTAGAGATGCTTTCAGTAAAAAGAGAAAAGGAACTAAATAAGAATACATTTGAGAAATATTATTTTAATAGAAGCAAAGCGAGGAGAAATGTATTTAGAAGAAAACCACGTCGTAGTAACTAAGATGTACGTCGTGGATTAGAACCATTTTTGATTTACGTATGTTTTTTATGAGATAAAATATCATAACGAATCATGAACTATGATTTAAATCAGAGAACGAATCTTCCAACCAAACAGGCTCTAATACTTGACGAGTGGAGAAGAGTGCTGAAATAGAGACTTCGTTAGATGCAATTATTCAGTCTTCACTTGGTTATTGGTTCCTAGTGCTTCTATCCCCATCCGTCGGGGGTGCTTTTTGACAATCCTCATATTCACACTTCAAAGTAGTATTTTAGAATTATGGTGCGTTTAATTGGTGGATTCGTGTCATAATTTGAATCATAATTTATAGTTTGTTAAAGTATTTTTTTCATAAAAAATACACATAAATTAAAAATAATTCTAAATTATGATTCTAAATTTATGAACCAAACGTCCACTTAATTTCCCTAAGACCATAATTTATTATAATTCCCTCTTGGTTAGAGTATTCAACTATTACCTGAACTAATTTTAGCTAAATGAAATGTTTATTTCTGGAATTAGAAGCTTGCATACCGTAATTTATATGTGTCAGCCATTTATCAAATTTTTTAATATTTGACTTGTTCTGGATGTTCTTGCGGCCGCCTCGTCAATCGTCATGAACGCAAAAAGCCCAACTTGATGGTTTGACTTATGGGTCGTCAATCTCTCCGTGACAATATCATCTTTAGACTTTATTGTAGAAAATAAGGGATTCATATCTACAGCTTAATTTTTAATATTTTAATTAGTGTTTAATTAATTAAATTATACTGCACTGTCTCATGATAAGCATAAAAGAGTTAATTAAGAAGAAATTTAAATTTTTTATATGACGTGACATGATTTAATTTGTTAGACACCAATTGGGATGTTAAAATTAGACAACAGATTTGAGTCCGAAAATAAGTCGTCAAAGTCTTTACTATTACCTTTTAGACAAGTGAAAATTATCACGAAAAATTAACGGCTCTCAAAATTCACATCTAAATTATTGCTTGGATTAATGTACTCATGAGATCAGAGGGAACTATGTCGACCATTATATTTTGAAGTCTTGGTCTTCGGTTTATTCTTGTCTATAAAATTGGAAATTATTAGCTAGGTATGTAACAACTTGAACTCGAAGGTTTTATTTTAGTCGATATTCGTTACAGTTTTTAGTTGCATATTGCCACACCTTTCCGCATCACATCATGGTGCCGAACTCGAAACTATTAAGCCTACATGCCATACATATGTTTAGAAAACCTAAAACCATAGGCAGCTGGCATATCATATATATTGATTGTTAACTATTTTACTACTTGAAAGACCAGGAAACATAGTTTGATCTCTGGTCCTTATTCGGATAGCTAATATAAGTCGATCTTAAGGACAAATTACCTAGGCCATGGACCAAGTAACGTCAACAACACCCAAATCCTTGTTCAGCCCCAGGGCACTCCACACGGCATCGGAGCCGTCAACAATATTATTCTTACACGGCGGCTGGCCCGCATGCTCGGCATCACACCCATGCATGGAGTCACACTCGTCCACCACCTTAGCCACCACGCTCCTCCCATTAGCCGTGATCCTTATCATCTTTCCGCACCTCGACCCGCCATCGTACCACCCGGTCGACAGCGCAACGATCCGCTCGCTGTTCGAATGGTACCTGTCGTCGCACTCCGACGGGCCACCACCGTCACCGCCCTCGCTGAAGTCATTGTTGGTGAGTTTGGCTTGCGTGGAGGACGTGACTGGAGGAGAGCACCTGTAGGTAGGGTAGGTATTGCCATCGCAAGTGAGAGTACCATACTGCTTGCACCCACCGCCAGGAGCTGGGGTTCTTCTGCAAATTCGGGTTCCGAGATCGGTGTCGTCGTTGCACTTGCCGTTGATGCAGATGAGCTGGCCCTCGCAGTCGTTTAGGTCACGGCACGAGCCGTAGCAGGAGGAGATGGCGTGTGATGGGAGGGACTGAGAGATCAAGATGTTGAAAATTAAGGAGAGAGAAACGTCCAAGAATGCAAAACGAGCCATTTTATGAGGGGGAAGTGAAGAGTTGATTAGCTATATATTGGTGAAAGAGTTGAGTGAAAAATATAGGAGTTTGTTGCACTTATTATATAGTGCTAGGAATGATGGTAAGGCGGATATTTTAGAATTCTATAAGAAATTATTATTTTACAAGTTGATATGGAAGTCTACATGGAATGGAAGTGCCGTCGATGTCGACATGTGGCATAATAAAAAGATCCTAACATTCCGTAGAAATTAGAATACATTTGTTAAAAGAACTAAAATGACTTTTCTTAATTTCCAAAAACAAGAAAAGAATACAATTAGCCGTGCGGCCCCCAGTATTTATTTTCTTAAGTCAGAGTACCATACTGTTTACAGCCACCGACACTAGGAGATGGATTTCTTCCACAAATGCAGGTCCCGAGATCAGGGTCGTCGTTGCACTTGCCGCAATTGATACGTATGCCGGCCCTCGCAGTCGTTTATGTCACGACACGGGCCGTTGCAGGACGATATAGCGTGTGATGAGAGAGGGAGCATGGAGATCATCGTAATGAAGATTAAGAAGAAAGAAAGAGAAATATCATTGCTATACTAATGATGAGAGAGTTGGATGAAAATGTTAAGAGTTCGTATACGTACGTCCAAGAAGTGATCGTAAAAGCCTAAAAGGGGATTAATAATTAAGAGTTTCATTGGATAATTAATTTTACAAATTGATGTGGCAGTCTAAATGGAATGGAAGTGCCGACTCAAATATGAAATGTCGACATGATGAAGCATAATTAAAAGGGAAATGACGAACGTTACGTAGAAAATATTATTGTTATGTAAAAGAAGGGTAATCCGTAATCTACATGACTAAACTTCTCATCTTTTAAGGTCTTTCTTTGGAAATTCCATCAACACTCCGACTTGTCATCTTTTAAGATCTTTCTTTGGAAATTCTATCGACACTCCGAATTTAATTAAAGTCATATGGATCATGATTTCTTACCAAACTTTTTAATATATATGAGAGGCTGAACATTCCGAATTTAATTGACAAAGTCATATGGATCATGATTTCTTACCAAACTTTTTAATATATGAGAGGCTGAAACTATTTATATGTTGACATGCATCTTTAAGGACAAGAGGTGGTACCTCTTCATTAAGACCAGAAATGCTGGGTTAAAATTGCGTAGTTAACAGAGGGGAACAAAATTATTATATAATTTCGTTAATTTGCAAATTAAGCATGTTGATGGAGTCATATATGGAATTTTGTATTAATCCTAATAATTATGCATGGAGATGAAATTTTATTAGTTTTAGTGTCGTTAAGTACTATATATTCAAATGGAAATTTTATTAGTTTAAACCAATTGAAGTCTAAGGGCTGCAGGCTGCTTGGTTCATGAGACGGAAGGCCGTTAGCGTAGATGGTTGATTTTTCTCCAGTCGTCTCTCCAGACTAGCCTACAGTATGAACTGCATTTTTCGACTTCACATTGGTCTCTTGCTTATAGCCTAAAACTTTCACTTTCATTTCCACCTTTATATTTTTGATCGTATAGGTTTGCCCAAATATGGCATTGGTCCTAATTGATTTTACAATAAGGGCCACTAACGATCATGGTAGTCATATGTATAAGTTAGCTAGTCTTCTGTTCATACACGTGGATGGGGAAAAAAAGTCATGATTTCATATATTGTTTTGAGACTTTGATGAGGGAAAGTTAGGAAGTCAACTAAGAGATTGATTTTTCAAAGTCTTTTTACTTACCAAACCTAGCCAATTATAACTTCAGATTTTCATTGTTGATTTTTATATAATAGTATTAGCCAACTGATCAATCTCCCTCTACCAAGGACAGGAGGGAATTAAGGACAGAGCCCCCCCACCCCTCAACTTTTTATTCTTTTTAAAAATCTATAGATATATTATCTCAAATTACATTACAACCCCCATAAAAAACATGAAAACTTGATTTAGCCCTCCCTCAAATTTTTTTCTTCAATAAAACCTACATATCTATTGCATCAAATTACGTTAATTAAATTTTTACTGCAGTCATTAGCCCCTCCTAAAAGAAAATTTGTCTAGCATCATCACTGCCGCTACTCACATAAGGTCAATATCATTAGGTGGGTAGGTGGTACCCAACCTAGTGAATAGTGCTGGAAGAACGGGTGGCGGGCCTGTTTGAAGCCCGAAAATTTTTGGACTCGATGGACAGGGTCCTAAGTCTGCCCGTCCAAATTCTAGGCCGGGCTAGGGCCCGGTCAACCCGAAAATGAAGCAAAAAAATAAGCCCGCCGCTGTGGAAAACCCATTGCCCGAAGCCCGCCCGAAAATTTTTAATAGTATTTGTTTTAATAGTGTGTGTTGATTTTAATCTTAATTATAATTTTTATATAATTTTTACAATAAATAACTTAATAATTATTTATATACAAATACAATTAATAAAAAATATTATATATAATATATATACACAATATTATAAAAAATAAAACAAAATATTAAAAAAATATATTAAATATTCAGGCAGCCCGGGCGGGCTCGGGCAACGGGCACAAGTTCAATTTTTTCGAGCGATCGTTGACAGCCTGTCTAAAGTTCCAACACTACTAGTGAAACTCGCCATTTTTTGAGTGATGGGATTTATCCCCGTCAGGATAAAAACCATTTTTATATAGGTTGTAGATATCAATATATAAACACACACACCAGTTCTTTGTTCCAATTTGCATAGAAAAGAAAATGATACAATGTGTCATATATAACTATATTTTTACAAGTAAAAATGTATTAAGAAAAAAGTTTCTACAAAATACTCATAAATTAATCAATGAGAAATTGAGGGGGGGAAAAAAACATTGACTTGGTGTCTGTGACATAAGGTTGCAAACGTTGAGAGAGAGAGAGAAAGGGGGAAAATATACATCCGCTGGTTTGTAAATTTTGGAAAAACTGAAGTCTGAATTAATGTATAGGAAGGAAAAGTTATGGGATTAAGAGTAGATAATCCGCTTCGTTCCTTGTTTTATTTATTATTCTTTTTTAATGAGGAAGCAATATAAACATGTGTTAATATAATTTAACCTCTTGGAACGAGTCCATCCAGTACTATTAACTTGTTTCAAATATGCCGGTTTAGTGAGAAAATTTTATAATTTTACATGGGATGACCAAATTCTTGGCTGGAAGAGAAAAAGCTCCATAGTTCTCTGTCTCAAATTTCTGGGAAAAAAAAAATCTAGAACGTAATTACATGACGACAAGGGAAACAGGTAAAACGACATGGCAAACGTACAAATGTACCCCAACGACAATTAGATTCATGGGATGACACCAACCTCCTGCATCAACGACAACGATCAATATCCATTTTGTCCAGACTAGAGAGTTGACTCTAGAACCAAACTCTTCAGTCTTCACAAAGTCAATCACCTCCTGGACAATCTTTGCCCTGTTTAATTTTCAAAAAGAAAAAAAAAAACTTTGCTCTGTTTTTTCAGCTGTTCTACCGTACATCCCACACCAAAAACAGAGTTATCCACTTTGTTTTCTGCAAGTTTGTTTAGTTAAAGCGATTTTTCTTTTGATTTTGACCTTTCTCTTGACAATTGGCCGACATTAACTGGAGAAATAAGTTAACCAGGAAGGAAAAGAATGCCCCTTTAGTTTCTTTTGCCCGCAAGAGAATCAATCCCTTTGGGGGGAAGAAAATCCATGCCCATATAAAAATAGTGACTTCGAAAGGTGCGTTCTTTCAATGATTTTTGTTTCTTGAGCTGAACCTCATTGATTTTTTTTTGCTTTTCTTTTTCAATTATTATTTTACAGATTATGTTTTATTGGTCTCAGGTAATTATTGCTATACAGAACTGAAAACCAAAAAAGAGAATGGATTGTCTTACTGGTTTTGGTACTTCCCTTGCTGCAAAACGTAGCGAGTACACTGTTGAACCCATTGGCAGTCAGTTTGGTGAGGTAAGTTATCTCTTTAAGTACAAAACCAATTTAGATAATCTAAGAACCCAAGTTCAGCAGTTGGGTTATTCCAAAGAGAGGCTGCAACATTCAATTGATGAGGCCAAAAGAAATTGTGAAGAAATTGAAGCTGGTGTAAATAACTGGCTGATTCAAACAGAAAATATTTCTGGGGAGGCTGAGAATTTGCTAAAAGATGAAGGCCAAGCAAATACAAAGTGTTGCTGTGGTTGTTTTCCAAATTTGTTATCGCGGTATCGGTTAAGCAAGAAAGCGGTAAAGATGGGGTTGGAAATCGGTGAACTCGTCATGAGTGCAGGCAGTTTTGATAAAGTTTCTTATCGAATTCGAATTGGTGGTGTCATTGAAAACAAAGGGTTTGTAGATTTCCAATCGAGAATGTCAACTTTGGAGGGAATTATGGAGGCATTAAGACGCAATGATTGGGGTCTAGGGTGTGGCTGGTGTTGGCAAGACAATGCTCACGAAAGAAGTTGCTAGACGAGCCATGGATGAAAAGTTATTCAGTGAGGTGGTTGCGGCCACAGTTTCTCAAACTCCTAACCATGAACTTATTCAACAAGAAGTTGCAGAGAAGCTTGGTTTAAAATTCCGCGAGAAAAGTGTACCTATAAGAGCAAACCGGCTACAATTTCGATTGAGGCAAGAAAAGAAGATACTCATAATTTTGGATGACATTTGGGAGAATCTTGAATTGAATGAGGTTGGAATGTCTTTTGGGGATGCTCAGAAGGAATGCAAGATATTGCTAATCTCTAGATTTCAGAATGTGTTATGCAATGATATGGAGGCTGAGAAGAATTTTCAAGTTGGACCTTTAACTGATGATGAAGCAATAAGTTTGTTTAAGAAAATGGTGGGTGATTGGACAGAAAAATCGGATTTTCGAGATTTGGCAACTCAGATTATTGAGAAATGTGGAGGAATACCGGCTACTATTGCAAAAGTTGCATCTGAATTGAAAAATAAAAGGTTGTTTGTTTGGAAGGATGTCTTGACACAACTAAAAAGGTCTGCCAACTAATACAAAACAATAGTACAAGAGTGTGAACGACATT